ACCTCACATTGATCCTAACCCTGGATTTCTCAAAAATAGAATTTCCTCTTAATCTGGATTTATTATCCCCTTTTTGAAATAGCTTCTGGACAACAAGTGGCAGTTGACCATCTCTGCACATAATTTGAATCATGCTATTATCTACCAAATATGTGAATTTCAGTATATTTTGCATAGTATATTTGCTGTCATGATTTTGATGCTGTGAAGACAGGGAGTGCCATGTAGCAATGCCCACTTTGCCAGAAATCAAACCAAGAACTCACAGCTGTTGGCATTTGCGCCTATACGGTATACTCCAAAGCTGCTCTCCTACTAGATCACCCTGATATTTTATGCATATGTATCTGAGTTAAAATTTTACCTGCAAATGCAAATCTGCCAAATATTGTAAAGCCCACAGTTCTTAAAGAGAAGTAGTTTAAAGTGTCTAATAGCATCTATTTGTACTGGGAACTTTTGTGATCACTGCAGTCGTGTTACGCCGCTAGAATACAAGAGGAGATTGTAAGTATTTAAATGCATTTGACCTAAATGTGCAGAGGCCGCGTTGAAATAGAGATAGTAAGTGCTTTTCTCTCGAGTGTCGAAACCTTTTTTGCTCTTTTATGTGAAAAAGAATCGCTTTTACATGACCGATGATTAAATGTGGGCAATAAATCCTTTAATAACATATCTGACATGTTTTTCTTTTAAACTTTCACATTTCTTTTTCTTCTCTCTCTTAACGATCAAAAGGTTGGCACGTTTTAGTTTTACTGAATACACACATGCTGGTTTTACTTTGTCTTCAGTGTTCATGTCTTGATTACTACCCTGTTTCTGTGAGCCCCACCCTCCTTCTCAAGAATTCCTCATAATCTCCTGGAGTGAACAAGTAATACACTAATTTTGATTTGTGCACCCCAGCTATCCTCCACCTCCCACAGGGACATTGGAATAAGGAAATATAGCGTGAGCCACATTTCAGCTTTTTTAAGAAACCCTGTCTTGGAAACCAAACACAGCAAAGCCATTATGTCCACAGTGGAGTTCCTGTAAATCAGCTGTAGCTGGACACATGCAGGTCTGAACAGTGGCTTCGGGCCCATGAGGGGCATCCTACTGTTCTGGCTCAGTGATGGAGAGATCAACCTATGAGAGAGACAGAGAAGAGAGAGGGGAAAAGAGGGAGAGAGAGAGAGCGACCATTCTTGCAGAAAGGCAGTTAGCAAGGCATCGCCTCATTGCCGTGGTAACCATTTGGTCTGCCTGACAGGGGTTGCCAAGGCAATAAGACAAAGGGCATGATTGTTGAGACTAGTTTCCTCCCTTGAAAAGAGTGAGGGAGGGTTAGAGAGAGAAATTCTTTGTCAGTGGTGAAGTTGGAGATGGACACAGGATTCAGTGATTCCACCAAACTTGCCTGCTTTGGGTAAACTGGTACAGCTGAGAAATCAATCCAAACCTTTTAAAACCAAACTCACCGTACTGTAAACTTTTGACACTTGGTCATCATTTCCTCATCTGAAACTACCCACACACTCAGGAGAAGGCCCTGCCCAGTTCAACAGCTCTCCACAAAACTCTTTATCATCACACTTAACCTAGACATCCCCTCCTCGCACGCCTTCAATGGCCTCTCCATGCTCCTTTGAGCTTTAAATGGGAGCCCAATAACGAGCACCACCCTAGAACAAATCCATTGTGCAGCCAACCTCACAAAGTGCAAGGACAAAAATAAAAGCATCAGCGTCTAAATTAACTGGGATTAACTTTGCTTCAAAAAGAGTCGGGGTGAAAGACTTGGATCTGGGTTTCAAAGGCTATCAAATAATAGAAATCTGAAATTAAGATGTGAACTAAATGATAATTATTGTGAATTGGCACACTCAGGCTGTTATTTGCATTCATTTTACTATTTACATTCCTTCAGCAAAGCAGCCTGCAGATCCTTACCCTCTTTTTTTTCTGTTAATAGTCAAACAAAGACTTGGACTTACCTGAAAGGACAAAGACGAGGAGGCCAAGGAGCTTCAGCAGAGGAGGAATGTCAGCGAAACTGCCGTCTCTAGAGGAGGGTTTCCTCTCCACCTTCATCTTGTGTCCTGGGCAGAGTCTTTCTCCCACTTAGTGAGCATGGTTTATCCACCCTGGGCACGTCTCTGCCGCTCAACACTCTATCCACCGCCTGCCTGCTTGCAACACTGGCCTCTGCCTGGTCACACTGAGCCCCACTCTCCACACAGCACCCCACTCACTGCCAACAACAGCCAACTGTGTGTATGTGTGTGTTTGTGTGTGTGTGTTCATGACACATAGTTTAGACAAGCTCCCCTCTTCCCTTTCAAAAAGTAGTTAACAGAAACTCTCTGCTTTTAGTAGATCGTCTGCTATTTTCTAAAAGTTTTTATATTCTTTTAACTACACAAAAAGCAATTCAAGTCGAGTTCAGCTACTTTCCAAAAAAATTCACGCTGGAAAGGACTACTTAATTCAGCCAGAAGCATTTCCGAGCTTTAAGTAGGTTCCTTAGAGCTTCTAGAACCTACTTAAAGCTCGGAAATGTCTGAGTTTGAAAAACAACTCATTTCCCCCCCCTCTTTGGCCTATTTTTGTGGCATTGTTCAAACTCCTCTCTGGACTGGAGCCTCACAGTAAACACACAATTTGCTGCTTGGCCACCAAACCAATCACACGGAGCCTTTTAGGTATTTTTCTTCTGGTTTTTACGCACTACTGTGTCAGGTGCACGATGCTATATACAAGACATTCATAGTAATAGCAGCAACAAACGAAGAGCAAGTATAGAGAGGGTTTTGTACCTGCTTTGTCCTCTAGGTGGAGTCGAAACTGCACCACAATAGCAAAGTGACATATGAGAAGAAGTCAGGAGCTGGAGGCAAACTAAATTATTGGAAGTGATGCTAAACTTTTCATAAATCCAAATGCATGTGAAAATCAAAATAGGAATCTTACACGTGAGGTAAAAAGTACATGTGACAATGCAACAAAAGTCAAAATCCAATAGTTCTGTTGCTTTAGATCCTTCCTCTGACTGCCGGTTTGCATGGAGCTCTAATATCTTGTAAGTTTGGCAGTCACTTTTTATTACAGCAGACACGCTGCCATGTGTGAAATCCCCGTATGTTTGATCAGTCTGTTTTCTGTTTTTTTTTTTCTTTATTTGTTTGTGTGCACTGATGAGTCAGTTGCATTATAAATCATCTCTCCCACTTTCTAAAAGTCTTTTGTCAGGAGTTTTTTTTTGGAGCATTTTGTTTGACAACAAAGGGATGTTTTATGAAGAGGAGGAAGCCTGCGTTGACAGGAAAAAAAACCAAAACCTTCCAGGACTGTGGGAACAGCTGCTGTTGACTACCACTCTCACAGGGCTGGTACTCCTGTGTAGTGAGCCATCAAAGTCGAACCTCTCCCCTCCACCTCTGCCCTCTCTAAAAGAAACACCTCCCATTTCCTCTCATCTTCTTACAGGCTCTAAATCAAGGGGGACAATTTCCAGTCAGCTGAGCGAAGAGGGGACTAGAAACAGACCGAGCCTGTGTGTCTCAGTTAGTTTGGCCGAATGTGTCATAACAGAAGCTATTGTCACTTTTAGACCCCATTAAGACTGATGTCATCCCCACACATGCAGATGCAACACAGTGCATACATGATACAAATGATGCTCATATCTTTTAAAATCTGGGATTCTTGCATTTAACAACATCTCCTATTAGCTGATATTTGTGCAGATGTAGAAATAAAGCTCATATTTTCTGCACACTGCCCACTTGTGTATTCTACTCAGAAAATATGGTCTCTCCTAAGATGGCGAGGGCAGTCATAACCACTGGAAAGAGGATAATTACGCCCCCTGCTGTTTGTCCTGGCTTATTCTTCTGTAATTATCACCCAGGAGACCAGAAATCTTTGCACACTGACAGACTGTCTGAGGAAGAAAATGAACTAACCAAGCAAATCTGTCTTGTGATTTACTCTTAAAATGGTCCGGGTCAGCTTTAGTTAAGTGCAAGCTGCGAAGGGAAGAAAATATTATTCTGTAGTGTGTTTAAATCTGGCTCTCATGTGATGATGTATTAATATCCTAACACGATTTTCCAGCTCATGTCTCTCTCTTTTCTTTTTTTTGTAAAACTGTCTTTTCCATCACCTTCAGAATTCAATCTACAGCACGAAGTGGGTGTTGTGCTATGTTTGGAGGTGTGCAGGATATTGATTGTTCACCCACAGTCATTAAAGAGACAGGAGAACGTGGCCATGGCACCTCTGGGACTGAGTAGGAGAAAAGAAAGAACAGGTCCATATAAAACCCGTAGAGGATGTTCATGAGATTTGCGGCTGAGAGGAGGAAAGTCAGCCTGAGAAGGAAGTGTTTGCGCTCTGCCTTTTCGAAAAACCGCCGAAAGCAAAGGCGCTGGCTGTTCCACCTCTGCAGCTGGCGACGTGCGAGCGACAATAAGTGACTTTAACGGGATCTGCGTGATGAAGTACGGCTCGTGATTTTCCTGTTTGAGAATGCGTGTGTGCCGTTTGAGTTTGTGCAGTTCGCTGTGTGGCTCAGATGTGTGTGGGTGTTCTGAGTGGGTGCACCGGGAGACTGAAGATGCTCTATCCTGTTTCTCATAAAGTGAACAAGACTGCCTCGGCAGATGAAGCAAAATTGTGTTATTCTTTTGTAATTTTGGCATGTAATGTAAAACGGATATACACAGAGGGTGTTTATGACAAGGCAACTGCTGGGGGATTTACATGATATGAACATCTCAAAAAACATCTTTAGTACAAAAAGAGTTTTGTATTAATCATTCATTAGATTCGTTGTTAGAACACTATTTCAGCTTCACTGAAACTGCTTTTAACTGCCAGCCTCGCTTATGTTCCACAGAAAAATAAGCTGCTTTGGCTCCTGTAATGTTTACAAAAAACACCAAAAATATCAAGGATTTAATTCACGGACAAAGACTGAGGTGACAGACACTTTAAAACAGACATCTCACTGAATATTTAAGGTGGATTTATTAGTGTAATGCCACGTCTCTACACCGAAGTTCAGCAAGGTACTATTCAGTTTTTTTGTTTGTTTTTTTTTAAGCATGAAGCCTCTGCACACAGTGACAAAGGATTTCTACACACCCGATTTAACAGAAGTCAAACAAGTAAATCCCACCAACACAACAACAGAGCATACTGAACCAGTGTGTTATTATTTAAAGCTGTACCAAATGCATCTGGAGAAACAAATAAAGAGGAGTGTAAATTACTGCATGCGTACTGCTCTGGAAGATCAGATTTATAGAAAATGCTCGGAAATGTGGAAAGAGCAATTTCACTAACCATGTGACCAAAAGGATAAACAAATAGAACATACATAGCTACTTTTCTTTTGATGTTTTAATCAGTCTTGTAAGCAAGTCAAATAGGTCAATAACTGTCAAGATACAAGCACATCAGGAAACAATGCAAAATAAGAAGTCTTTTTAAGCCACTAATCACCCAACGTGATGCGTACGGGGTTTACACACAGAGCATATGAAGTGATCCATCCAAAAAAAGAAAGAAAGAAAGGGAAAAAAAGCTCTGTTTAGCATTTAGAGGACATTCATTTTCACTTTCACAGATCATCGTCTAAAAACTAGCACACTACCAGAAGTTTCACAAGTACATGCAGTGAGTTGCAAATTCTGGGTCAAAGACATCCGTACTGATGAGGCTGCTGAAGAAGCAGAGAAGGAGTGTTAAAGTTCACAAAAAAAAAAAGAGAAGGAAAAAAAGATTCACATAACACACCCTCAAAACTGTTCATTTTCTACTGCTAATTTGTGTTGAAAAAAGACTCCTGGGGTAAAAAGGTCTGCCTGAAAGCCAGCTTAGCCAGCGTATGCCGGCTGTCTCTCACTACCTTGCTTTGCCTCTTTCTCTTCATCCAGGTCGGGACAGGGGTGTCACTGCTCTGGCACAGATGTGTCGTCTCTCTCTACTGCCCCCGATCTTCCTGTCTCTAAAAACAGAAATAGGCATGGCAGTTATGCACCGTATAGGACTTGAAGGAAACTTTAAACTGAGTTTCTATTTAAGGGCGGTTCATTTCCAAGAAATATGACTCTTACGATGAATATATATTACAAATATGATTAAAATATATGTTTAATTTTAAAGATGCAACGCTTAGAACTTGATTCCTTATCATGGCCGATAAAACTGACGAGCACTTCAGCTGTAAAAAAGGGGGTCTGCCCCTGTGGGAGGTGCTTGTGATGCTTGGTTCCAGTACGACAGGCCCATTAATTCTGCTTGGCCCCTTAAAGCATATAGTGTACCTAATGCACCTGAAGCTATAAATACTTCTCCTACATAAGGATACAAGGCAGCCAGCAACTGGGTTAGGAAGAATCACTGACGTAGAACGTAGACGCCTTGTGTCAACCTCATCCCCAAAGAAAAGGCTCTTTTGTCTCACAGGGGGGAAAAAGTGGCATTTTGAGAGCTAGGATTCAAAAGTTTAATATCTTCAAAAAGTTTCCAGTGGTCCAGATTTAAAAAGACAAACTATAATTTGAAGGAAAGCAGATGTGCAGATTCGGGAGTTTAACTTTTACTGTTTTTATCTTTGATCTTGGTTTGCAGAAGCAGAAAATCCATCTAAATGCAGCGTGTGCTCGAGCTGAAACAGAAGTCTTCACACTTCTCCACAGTTGCTTACAAAAAAAAAAAAAAAAGCATCTGTTGTGACAATGTAGCTTGACATTTTTGAAACTAAACTGAACTCGGATTAAAGTCTTTTATCACTGGCGCTTTCACAGTAAATCTGGAAAGAGATTCATGTAGCAGAAAAAATAATTCAAACAGTCAATCATCTGTTGCTAAATGAGCCAGATATGTATTTCATTAATCACACTTGGTTTGAGCCTCAAAGGGCTCTAATAGTTATATTTAATTATGTATACAATTTAAATGGATTCTTTTCCTGCTGTGTAAATGGGGAAAAATGGCTTGTGTTCCTGCATTATGCAGCATTTGGAACATCCCTAAAACATCAAACTGTGCTAAATTATTTAACAGTAAGCCTAAAATTTGCTTGCTTATCATTTGGAGAATATTAAATTGCTTTAACTGCAAGACGCAAGAGACCGTTTACTAAAATGGCACTTTATTGTCATTGTTATGTTACAAGGTTTTATTCCCCTTGGATAATATTGAATATTTCCAAGATTATACCTTCTAAAAAAAAGAGGACGACAAAGTTTTGAATTAAAGAAAAAAAAAATCCATTAAAAAACTGGATTAGATCCGGCTTCATCCCTTCATCATGCCGTTTTGCCGTTGAACAAGCTGTGCAATTCACAGCAAAAATGTAAAATTTCGTTATTTCGATTACAAATTAGGCTATAACATAATCAGGTCATTTACAGCAGCGTGTGGTGTGACAAGCTTGACACGAATCTGCAAAGTGACAAAGAAAAAGTCTTGTTTTTCCGAGTACAGTAATTTTTTTCCTCATAAATTTACCTGTTCTCTTACCTTATTTCACTTCTTTTGGGGCTGGCCATCTTTAAAGTCTTATCGCTAGATTCTACACCACTGACCTGTTGAACACATCCCCAGTGATGCTCACCTCCTCCCCTTCTGTTTTGTCCTCTGGCTTCAGCTTCTTGCGAGTCATGTGGCCACGAAAGCCAGCCTGAATCTTAGCAGCAGCCCTGTTGGCTTCAGGATCATCCAGGGGGATGTCCATTATGTCCTCCTCCTCCTGGGGCCGGCTGCACTCCTCCTGTGTAGAGGACCACAAAGTATGAGTTTATGACGGTAGAAGAACAGATTTCATGTTTTTCTTCATGAAACACTGGTGGGATAATCTCATGTTCATAACAGATTGCAGGACCATATTTTGTAAAGTTAACCATATAGGTTGCACTGTCTTTTTTGACAGCAAGCAACTTGTTACACAACTTCACTGGGGCTCTTAGGAGGTCAATGGCCCGCTTTTTCCTCACTCTTTCCCCTCTTCTCACATGCAGCATATAATACTGCTGATTTCATCATTTAGCCTGGAAAAGCCATTATCTCTCATATCACAAAACATAAAGCAATGCACAAAATTGATGAAAAAGACTGCGTTGTAGTTTAATGTTTGTGGATAACTGTAGTTCCATCAAGCAAAGCTTAAGTGAAGTTAGAAGTCACCTTTCAAAGAAAAGATAAACTTGTAATTCTGCCGCATTCAGCGTAAAAAAAAAAGAAAAAAAAAAGGATGACCCAGCAAAAGCGTCGCAGTCACAGCAGCCTCTTGTTCAGACACTAAAAGTACAGAATCCACTGTCCCAAAGGAAACATAGGGTGGGTGGAAATTCTGGCTTGTCACAAACTGTCAGTGGAAGAGTGCCAAAGCTGTCGACGAGTTATGTAAACACCAATTCAAATCGTGTGGCAAACGCATATCAGCTACACCCCGTGCTTTGCTTATGGTAACAGACTGACATTTCACACAAAGGCAGCCCACAGAATGATCCCACTGTCATCCCACTACCTCAGTGAAGCAGTGCATCATGTCTCCAGTGAAACCCCTCCAGTGTAGGAGTGTGACCACCCACCTGTTCAGCCAGCATTCATTAGCCTCTCTGTCTGACTGCTCAGTGAGCAGCCCGAATCCAGATCTTTCACAGCAGCAGAGGTGCAGGGTTGCTGCTGCACTGGATTTTTCTGGCAACACACCTTCTCAGTCTTACTGTTATTGAGTTCCTCGAGGGCTCTTTGATTTATTCTGACTCAGATTGATTTGAAATATTCTGGTGAAAATTCTCTTTTAATGTGATGAAAATAGCTTGAAATGTTTTATAACAAGCCTTTATGTGGAAAAAAAAATCATTATTTGAGGACCATGAAATCACAGTGGCTACCATATACTGCACTCAAGGCAAAAAGACAAACACACACAGCGGTGTGCATCCGAGGACAACCACACACAGCATTTGGCAACTAACAAACTATAACTGTACATGCATCCACCTGTAAAACTGATCAGTGCCTAAAAATAGATCGAAAAATATTTTTGGAAAAAGTTCATCTGAAGCTCGTACTTACGTTATGACAGTCCATTTCTTACTCTCAGAGATGATTTCAGTCTTCAGGTGAGATGACCTGCTATGACTTCTGTGCCCGAATTTCTATGTGGACCAAGCAAAAGCTCTCTTTAAACGAGTCTCCGGTATAATACAGATGTCTCACTGGCTCTTACTAACAATCCCTGTATGTTCAGTAACACCCGCTCACGCACAGAGTGAGAGAGAGAGACATACAGTGAGAGGGAGAGAGAGGGAGAGCGGCAGCAAGGGAGCGATTGAGAGAGGAAGAGGAAGGAGGGAGGGAAAGAGAGACCTCCTACAAACATAACAGCATGTGTTCATCTTTTCAGTCTCATTAGGGTTTCTGACCTACTGTGTTCATTTTACAGTTACAAATATGTAACAGAGCTTAACATTCACTAAGAACAACCTGATGACTGAAGTAAATGACACAGGCTGAACTGTGCTGTATTTCTCTCTCAGCAATTTATAGCTTGACAGTTTTTCCCACAACTTAATTCATCCTGGATGTAAACTAGGAAAGACTACCAGATGCACCGAGCACCATTAAAATTCACACAAGTTGCAGTGTTACAATAACAAACTCCCCAAATAAAAACAAGTGACAAACTTGGAATTACTATGTAAACCAGATGGCCATAAAACAATAATTGCTGACTTTGAAAATTCTACAAATAGTGTGAAAATAAAACTGTGTAAGCATCTTGGGCTATTTTACACTAGGAGGTGTTATAAATTTATTAGAGGCAGAGTGAGCTAACAGCCCTCTCCATCCCTCTGATCCCAGCTGGTATGGCCGCCCACACTCCTCTGCCAGCCTCAGAGACAAGACGGAGAGAGAGGGAGAAACTGAAAACATCCATTTATCTGAGTTATATCTCTGACATTAACTCACTCCTGCTGGTTTGCTTGCCATTCACATTCAGACAATATGCTAAGTTATGCAAACGCCTAATTTCACTGGGCTGACCTGCTTTATCGATCAGCTAACTTTCTCAAACTGGGTATTTATATTTATATTCACTGGAATGAATTAAGAAATCGATCCTGCTTTCATGAGTGCATCTAACACAGTATTGAGATGATTAATGTATAGGAATTTCGTTGTGGGCAGTTGTAAATAGACAGTTAAAAGCATAACAGTCCAACATTACAGGGGAGAGCTGCTAGGTTACTGCTTGAGCAGCTGGGATTTACATTTATACACTCCACAGTTTTGCTGTGTTTCAGCTAAAGTCAAATCCATCGCTAGGTAGAAAAATACAGAAACTGATGTTTAATCACTTGGTTAAAACTGTTATTAAAGGTAGATTACTGATACAGAGGGTGCCTAGCAACTATCAGCATCACCATCTCCTATTAATTCCATGACGACATGAAGAGAGCAGGATGGTGAGGGGTTACCATAGTAACATCGTCAGTACCCCTTCCTACACTCCTACTTTGTGTGTGTGTGTGTGTGCGCGCGCGTGTTTGGAGTCCTGTTGGTCCAGACAAATCAGACGGGGCTAACTGTGACAGCAATAAAAAACATTACAGGCTTAATTCACAAGACAAATTGTTTAGTTGGTCTTTTATGATGACAGATTAGAGAATCAAGCTTCAATTTGTGGAGGCAGTGGAGGCTCCCAGGAGGAGAGTTGATCTGGCACTGACTGAGCCGGGGTGCCACAATTTTTATGAGCATGCGGCAGGAGTGAAGGCCTCCGATGGCCTCTTCCGCGTGCCCAAATGTGAAAAAAAGACTGATTGCGCTTAACTTTGAATGTGAAATTCCTGTAGATTTCAGCTGAGATAATGACATTCAAAGTATAAGTGCAAACTACCATAAGTCATCCAGAAAAGGAACTATTTTGAAGGTATTTTCAATCACCCACCCCCAGATCCACTGAGGGAGAAGAAAATGAAGGCCTCTGTTGATCAGGCTTGTCCTTACAGAGGTTATTTATATAGGCTACCTGAGACAGAAATGGAAACAGAACAAACTGTAGCCTAGCTAAAGCCATCTCTGTGTCAAACATTCATCCTCAGCTGGCTAACAGAAAGTGGAGGGCATGAAGTTAGCTGCCAGGGCGTGTGTTAAACTCAGTTTATTGCTAATTTTTTTAATAGGGTCATGTCTTTACTGTGTACAATTATTAATTAATACCTTTAAGATGCAAAGTAGCTTTCACATTTTAACGATAAAGGGAGGAGTGAACACCCAGTGTTAAAAAGAATCAAGATTACCTTGTCAGTACTCTCTTGCACTGTGGTGTCCTCAGGTAGCTTTTCTTCTCCTTGGTGGACATCAGCAGCCCAATCTGCACTGTGAGGGAGCGTGATGTTCTCCTCCTCATGCATTATGGCACTTTTCTCTTGTATTTCAGAGTCAGTCATCCCCTCTCCAAGTTCCTCTCCTTCCTTTGATGTGACCTCTTTTTCCTCCACTGTGTCCTCTGGCTGCGACCATACAAGTGTTACCCGACTCTCCTCGTTCTCCTCCGGTGGATGTTGCGCGCTCTCCTCAAAGACTTCTCTCTCTGCCCCCATTCTAGCCATTGATGTATTTGACTGGGTTGCTTGTGATGAATTATTTTCCGCCCCACCATCATTAATTTCCTGATCCCTTGTCTTGCTGTAAACGTTCTTGTGAGTTTCTTCGATATCTCCTCCAACCACATCTGTCATGTGGCCTTCTTTGAAATCAGGGTCATCTGAGCCTGTCTCTTTTTCTGAATCTTCACTCTTGAGAAATATGGCCTCACTTAGCTGCTCATTATTTTCAATTGCAGGATTGGTTTCATACTCTTGGTTCTCTTTTTCTGCCTCTGTGCTATCCTGATTTAATGAGCTGGTGTCTTCACCTTTTCCCTTTTCATCATCATCATCACTTAAATTGAGGTCATCTGTCCATTTGGCCCTGTTAACTCCCTTTTCAGCTTCATGTTTATGGCTGTCTTGTGTATCAGCAACACAGTGGCCAGTTGGAATTGCAGTAAGATCCTCTGACTCTTCCTTCTTTCGCATTTCTAATACGTCCATCTGTAAGGCATCTATTGAACTCTGTTCCTCTGGCTGTTTCCCCGCAGCCTCACTAATCTGCTGAGCTTCTGGAACATCTTCAAAGCTGATTTCAACCAAAGAATCCTCCTTTGGAATAACATTACCATCTATGCTACCCCTGCTATGAGCTACACTTTCATGAGTCTCCGCAGAATAAGCTTCAGTCTCTGTTCTTTCCTCTTTTCCTTTGTCTGGCTGATCCTCTGCTTGTTCTCGGTTGTTCTCAGTGATTTCAGCTTGAGCCACTGACGATTTTACAAGAATGTCCTCCGGCTGGTGTTTCAGATTTTCTTCACTAACATGTGTAACAGTCTCAGCAGTTGCTCCTTTCATTGTTCCCTCTGTTCCTTCAAGCTCTGCAGCGCACACATCCACATCAGCTAGGCCAGAATACTGAATGACTTCCACTTGCTCTACAACTTCAGTATTTTCCTCTTCTCCTGAATCGACAAGCTCCTCGTGTGCAACTGCTGGTCCTCGTTTGTTAACTTCCTCATCTTCTGATGTTCTTAACTCCAGAGCACACACATCCACATTTGACAGCCCTCTGAATGATGACAAGTCAGTGGGCTCTAACTCACAGTGAGGTATATTTTGGTCTGGAACAGTTTCATTAGCCGCCCTGTCAACTTGATCAAATACAGTTACTGCTGGATCGCTTTGCTTGTCTGTGCCACTCGGTTCCTCTGACTGTGCAGCTGCAGTTCGGAACCTGTAGACTGACTCTTCATTGTCTGTGTTTTCAGTCTTTTCTGAGACATAAGGGTGCGAGATTTCATCTGAACAACTTGATTTGTCTTCAATTTGGGACTCAAATGATTTTTCTCTAAAAATTAAAAATAGAACTTATGTAATTAAATGAGATAATAGAGCAAAACGAAGCTTTTCAAAAGAGAACATGTAATGATGCCTCTGTAAAACTCATCTGGAAATTATGCTTATCTTCCTGCAGCTGGTGGTCTTTTTTTGATGAGTTCTTCCCTTTCTCCTCAACCTTGGCACTGCAAATCTAACAGTGATTCCATTACTAAGCTGATAAGTTTCTGGTATTCTAGGCTTTTGTTCCACAATGTATTTTCCCTTTTCTTGATAACATCCCCTGAAAATGCCAAATTTCTATAGGATGTGTGGCTATTAAATAAAGAGAATGAACTAAATGTAAGCTTAATACTGCATTAGCAACATCAATTAATTGCAAACCTTCTTACACTACAGCATTCATTTTAAAATACTGATTATTTCTGGTTTTAAAAACGTTCAGCTTCCATGAGACTATTATAGTGTATGTCAAAAAAATATCAGTTTGATTGCGAGGATAACTGCAGTCATGTGACTTTTCTTTTCTAGTTTTCCACAGCGACACAAAACCACAACTGTGCCTACAAAAAAAAACAAAACCTTAAACCAAATGACTCCAGAAGCATTTCAGCAGCAAAAAAATGATGCTGTATTTCATCATCACTCTTCTCTGTCCTTTCCCTCTCGTTCCTCCTCTCCCTTTCCCCTCGCGCCTGCTGACTGCACATCACATGAGACTCACTTGGAAACGGTCACTTCTGTTGCTGTTTCTTTTGAAGTGTTAGTCTGAAAAATAAACAAACAGACACAAAGAAAAGTCTGCAACAGTGAACTGAAAGTAGCTGCTGAACAGAAACAATCTGCTTTGATTTGCAAATGATTTAAACTCTATAATTAGTTGGAAGAAAGACATCACGTCGATTGCTGAAATTGAGAATTGTTAATATCTTCTGAAAAATGCCGTGCTGATTTGTATATTGATTGGCAGCCATGTGTTTTTTTTAATTTAAGAAAGGGACAATAAATCACCTAAAATGTAACCCTTAAACATCACCCCAAAGCCTTTCAGTTCAAATCTATTACTTAAATCTCAGAACGTTTTTTTCCAAAAAGAATAAAACTGGTTTATGCTTAAATAGCCATTTTCTCCATGACTTACCTTAGATCCCTAAGTATAGTTGCACCTGATGGGATTAGCCCTCTTTAACTGTCTTATATCTCTTATCCTAAAGTTCTACAACACTGACCTGAGTCCCCTCGGCTGCTGTTAAACACATTTCCTGTGTTGCTCACCTTTTCCTCTTCTATTTTGCCCTCTGGTTTCAGCTTCTTACGATCCATGTGGCCACGAAAGCCAGCCTGAATTTTGGCAGCAGC